TGAGTATCGCTTAACACCTCAGTCAGGAGTCCCTGAAGAAGAGCCTGGTTGGACTCAAGGGACAGTCCCAACAAGAAGCGAAGGAAAAGGTCCAAATGTCCATTGTCGCTTGCTAAAGCATTATCCACAGCACACTTCAGAAATGCATGCATTGGGGTTTTTTTTAAAGTACTTATGATTTTAGCATTTGTCGTCTGACTGAGGACATTTCTTTTATAGTTGACAAACATAAGAAATGCATACAATGCAGCCAGAAACTCCTGTATACTTGCATGTATGAAACTGAAGACCCTCTCCTGAAGCAGACCTGACTCTTCTCTGAAGATTTGGGTACAAACTCCTGAATACACCGATGCAACATCGAGTTCAATGCCACATTCTCTCAAATCTTCTTCATAGAACAATAAATTACCCATTTCAAGCTGTTGGAATGCCAGCTTTCCAAGCAACAATGTGGTCTGGTTATCCCACTTCAAACCGGCTTCGGAATTATCATCGTATTTGTGACTCCCATGCTTGATCTGGAACATCAGGAAGTGTGTGTACATTTGCGTGAGGGTCTTGGGAATTTCACCACTCTCCGAATCACGAAACATTCTTTCGAGAACTGTAGCTGATATCCAACAGAACACTGGGATGTGGCACATGATGTGAAGGACCTTTGAAGACTTCAATTGTGAGATTATCCTGGAGGACAAGTCTGGATCACTTATTTTGTTCTTGAAGTATTCTTCCTTGTGGGAGTCATTGAAACCTCGTACCTCGGTCACACGGTCAATGAGGTCAGGCGGTATTTGACCTGCTGCAGCTGGTCGTGAGGTTATCCAGACTAAAGCAGAAGGAAGCAAGTTCTTGCAGATGAGGTTTGTCAGTAGGACACCGACTGAGACGGATTCTGTCGCACTGGAGCAGCTCCTGTGGTTTTGGAAATCCAGAGGAAACCGACATTCATCAAGTCCATCCAAGATAAAGACTACCTTGTATTTATCTGAGTGTAACACTTCTGGATTTGTTTTTAGATTGAAGAAGCACTCAAGAATGTGTATCAGACTCATTTTCTTTTCTTTAATTCCATTCATTTCACGAAAAGGGAGTGGAAATATCATGCAGACGTCCTGGTTGGCTCTTTCCTCAACCCAGTCCAGTGTGAACTTTTGCACAGACACTGTTTTCCCGATGCCAGCGATTCCTTTGGTTAGCACAGTTCGGATTTGTTTAGCAGATTTGGGAGAAGCTTTAAAGATATCATTAGCCTTGATTGGTGTGTCCCATGTGGCTGGATGTTTAGATGCTGTCTCGATCTGCCTGATTTCGTGTTCACTGGTGTGCTCACTGCTTCCACTATCAGTGATATAGAGCTCCGTATAAATGTTGTTAAGCAGAGAGGGGCCGCTGTGCTCTTCATTCCCCTCAAATATACACTGACACCTGTTCCTCAGCATCCTCTTATACTGATATGTCCCAATCAGATCATCTGTGAAGTTTGACATAGTTAGAATAAAAAATAAATGGATCTTGCTAAATATAAAAATTAATATGACACTATTGAAATTAATACCATTTAGAACGTTTGATCTTGATTCCTTCTGCTGAATTCTGAAAGACAAAATACATATGTAAAGCAAACTATGCATTTAATGTTTAATTTAAAGTTGCAATATTAGGTTTTGTTGATAATGTTATGCCCGGTTCAGACTACACGATTTTAGCCCGATTTTGCCACGATTTGTTTGACGTAGGGTGTCATGGCGATTCGTAAATGACAATGGGCGACGGGACGCAAGATTCCATCGTTTCAGCTCGTGTAGAGTGTCATTGTGGACGGCAACCGATCCCGCGTCTGCGATGCTTCACGACAGAAAGACTAGCATGTTTAATTTTTTTTCTGTCGTCCATTACGAGTTCTGTCACATTGGTGACGTTGACCAATAGCAGCACAGAAGCGCTTTCATACACAGGTTTCAAACATGGCGAAACGAAAGAGAGATGATGGTGCTGCTAGGTGGAATTACGAGATGGAGGAAAGGTTCGTGGAGCTGTGGCAACAGTACTCCTGCCTGTATGATGTGTCATCAAGGGACTACCACGACAGAACAAAGTAAGAAAAATGCTGGCGAACTATAGCGGAAGCGCTTCAGCAACGTTTACACACTTGTTTTGGGAAGTCAGTCGCTAGTTCCGCCTTCTCGATGGCATCACGCACGTCGTTAAAGACGGCACGTAATGAATGGTCGGGAAGCAACGTGTAGTCTGACATGTTTCTTGTCCACGACACGACAAGATTTTAGGAGTCAAAATCGTGTAATCTGACACAGTGACGTGACTATCGTGACGACAAAAATATTGTGTAGTCTGAACCCGGCATTAAACTAATTTTTGTTAAAGGTAAAGTGTGTGTTATTTTCATGTGCACAGTGAACAAGCAGTAGAAAGAAAGAAAAATAAAGAATTTACGAGTAAGGCAGACACTCCTTTCTGAAGGCAAATTTCAATATGTAAATGCATTAAAAGCAAACTTTTATGCATATAATTGTTTTACAACTTGCCAACATACTTCAGTTCTGTATGGAGTGATTCTCTGCTGAAGTCGACAGGATAATCCATCGACTGCTTAAGCTCAACCAACCTGAAATAAAGAAATATTCCAAAAGAAGTGAGTTTTTATAGCATACTTGTTTGAGGCAGAATTGGTATGTTTATAAGAGGTCTGTGAGCTCACTTGTGTTCAGGGGTTTCTTCCTGAAGGGATAACGGGGAAAACATAGATGGATTCCCCAGAGACACATGACTTGGTCCTGGTAAAGCAGTATTATTTGGCTTGTTCAAGCTATAAATAAATATATACATTCATATGTTTCTGTCAAAGCACATTATGTTGTGGGCTGAATAAAGTGCATATGCAATCATGATAAAAAAATAAAAATAAAATAAACCCCCAAACCTTATTCTTGCTTTTGGGAAATGCAAAAGTACCTTAAGCCTAAGTACACTGTAGAAACCAGTGGAACAAGCCATTGGTCTCTACCGTCAGCTTAGGCTCAAGATGGTTTTGAAAAATGCTGTAAGCATACAGTAAGCGGCACTTGAAAAAATGCAGAAATAACCAGGTTACCCCAATACACAAACCAGGGCTGTGCAATTTTCCATTTATTTTTTTTAAATTGGTGGCAAAATTGTAGGAACTCATTCAAACATTTTTTTTGTATGATCTGCTTACACCCCACTACTGAGTGTTGGGTTTATAAGTGGATTTTCATGTTTATTTTATTTATTTATAAATTTTTTTCAATAATACATATTTTTATGAATCAAGTTATACAGATACGAAATCACCAACTTGTTAACTTGTTTTTTTTTTTTTTTTAGGAGAGTGGGCTGGTTTCTGTCTGCTTTTGTTGTGTTGAAAAGACTTGCAGTTTAAACATTCCTCAGAATGTCTTCTTTGGTGTTCCACAGAATAAAAAAATTAAAAAACATTCTACGGGTTTGGGACGACATGACAAAAATAATTTTAAAACATTATTCGTATTTGTTGATAATGTTAAATAAACTTTATTGTTCGACATCTTTTCATGAAACTAATTAATTTCTGTGCATCTCGAGCAATTTGTCTTATAGATGTGTACATGTTAGGCCAACAGGTTTCTTGTGATGTGGAGCTGTGGCAACAGTACTCCTGCCTGTATGATGTGTCATCAAGGGACTACCACGACAGAACAAAGTAAGAAAAATGCTGGCGAACTATAGCGGAAGCGCTTCAGCAACGTTTACACACTTGTTTTGGGAAGTCAGTCGCTAGTTCCGCCTTCTCGATGGCATCACGCACGTCGTTAAAGACGGCACGTAATGAATGGTCGGGAAGCAACGTGTAGTCTGACATGTTTCTTGTCCACGACACGACAAGATTTTAGGAGTCAAAATCGTGTAATCTGACACAGTGACGTGACTATCGTGACGACAAAAATATTGTGTAGTCTGAACCCGGCATTAAACTAATTTTTGTTAAAGGTAAAGTGTGTGTTATTTTCATGTGCACAGTGAACAAGCAGTAGAAAGAAAGAAAAATAAAGAATTTACGAGTAAGGCAGACACTCCTTTCTGAAGGCAAATTTCAATATGTAAATGCATTAAAAGCAAACTTTTATGCATATAATTGTTTTACAACTTGCCAACATACTTCAGTTCTGTATGGAGTGATTCTCTGCTGAAGTCGACAGGATAATCCATCGACTGCTTAAGCTCAACCAACCTGAAATAAAGAAATATTCCAAAAGAAGTGAGTTTTTATAGCATACTTGTTTGAGGCAGAATTGGTATGTTTATAAGAGGTCTGTGAGCTCACTTGTGTTCAGGGGTTTCTTCCTGAAGGGATAACGGGGAAAACATAGATGGATTCCCCAGAGACACATGACTTGGTCCTGGTAAAGCAGTATTATTTGGCTTGTTCAAGCTATAAATAAATATATACATTCATATGTTTCTGTCAAAGCACATTATGTTGTGGGCTGAATAAAGTGCATATGCAATCATGATAAAAAAATAAAAATAAAATAAACCCCCAAACCTTATTCTTGCTTTTGGGAAATGCAAAAGTACCTTAAGCCTAAGTACACTGTAGAAACCAGTGGAACAAGCCATTGGTCTCTACCGTCAGCTTAGGCTCAAGATGGTTTTGAAAAATGCTGTAAGCATACAGTAAGCGGCACTTGAAAAAATGCAGAAATAACCAGGTTACCCCAATACACAAACCAGGGCTGTGCAATTTTCCATTTATTTTTTTTAAATTGGTGGCAAAATTGTAGGAACTCATTCAAACATTTTTTTTGTATGATCTGCTTACACCCCACTACTGAGTGTTGGGTTTATAAGTGGATTTTCATGTTTATTTTATTTATTTATAAATTTTTTTCAATAATACATATTTTTATGAATCAAGTTATACAGATACGAAATCACCAACTTGTTAACTTGTTTTTTTTTTTTTTTTAGGAGAGTGGGCTGGTTTCTGTCTGCTTTTGTTGTGTTGAAAAGACTTGCAGTTTAAACATTCCTCAGAATGTCTTCTTTGGTGTTCCACAGAATAAAAAAATTAAAAAACATTCTACGGGTTTGGGACGACATGACAAAAATAATTTTAAAACATTATTCGTATTTGTTGATAATGTTAAATAAACTTTATTGTTCGACATCTTTTCATGAAACTAATTAATTTCTGTGCATCTCGAGCAATTTGTCTTATAGATGTGTACATGTTAGGCCAACAGGTTTCTTGTGATGCAAAACTCTTCCACAACACAATTTGCTGAGCGAGTGAGCTAGACACATTTGTCTAAAGACTAAAACGAATATATAAATGCATCAAAAACTGGTATATCCTTGATGTTAACAGAAACAGACTGTTGCTAGCATACTTCAGTTCTGTAGGGATTGCTTCTCTGCTGTAGTTGAAAGGATTACGCATTGACTGCTCACTTTTCATTGACAAACCGCTGGGCAGAGAGGAGTCAGAGTCCTCACGATTAATCAACCTAAAATGAAGAAATTTTTTAATGGGGATAAGATTTCATTGTCTGTGGCAATATCCACCTGTTTATCAGCCCTATGATCTCACCTGTGTTTCTCTTTCAGGGTTAACTGAGGACACATGGACTCATTCCCCATGTAACCCTGTCCCAGTGAAGCAGATTCATCTGGCTTCTTCAGGCTTTAAAATAATAATCATTAAAAAAATCTAATAGAAAGCTAGCATAATGTATTTTATATATATGTTGAATCGATTCGAGTGCAAATACAATCAAACGAATAAACAGGAAACATACAAACCTTAAATCAGCCAGTTCAATAGCAAGGCCTCTGTCCACACTCATTTTAGTATTTGAATGACTAGTTAGTGAACCAAACATTCTTCAGCCTGCAACAATAGATATACACTGATGTAAACAAAATGATCAGTGACATGAAGTCTTCAAGAACTGATTGTTTTAACGTGACAGATTCTAAGAGGCTCCATTCAGCAAATGGGTCATTACTTCAAATTAAATTGAACTTTAAAACTTTTGTAAAATGGCACATTGCCTTGTAAATGCATTCAAATCTTACTTTTTTTTAGAACTTAAAAAATATATATATTGTAGAGGTCAAACTCAAGGACCCCCCCCCCGGAAAAATCATACAAATTGCAATCAAAATTATTTAACCCCTTTGACTTGCAAGACATTCTATTACTGTTTCAACCAAGGCATCAGTAAATACAATGTTTAATAATACACATTTGAATGACATAAAGTTGTTAAAAAAATAAATGGGGAAAAAAAGCAAATTGGCTCTCAACATTCATGTACAAAAGTATTCAACCCCCAATTTGTAGAGGGTTTTGTACTCCTTACAACCTCCAGTAAATGTTGCTTACAAGCTTCTGTCGCCTTTCTACTGGAATCTTGGCACATAGCTCATATGCAAACGTTTCCAGATCACTGATACTCTTTGATTTTCACATTGACTCTTTTTCTCCACTCGAGGATATTGAATGACTGAACCAAGCCTCACTGTCTTTAGAGAGATATTCTATGGGATGGTTGTCCTGCAAAGTCCAATGATCATTATGCGTCAGTCTGTGCATGGAAGGCATCACAATCTTTGCCTGATAACAGCTATGTCAATGTATGCGTAACAGCTCAAGCTTAAGTTTTGTTATAGACTTTTCAAAGGCTTTTCAATTGTGTTTTAACACAATTTTGTGCCCTACCATAGACATCAGTGACTTGCACTATTGAATAGAGGTTGAATAATTATGACATAGATGTATTACAAAAAAAAGTCATAATTTAAACTCCAAAATTTTACATTTTGACATTATCACTTTTAATATGCCACTGAATGAACTGCGGAGAATGAAATCTGGATCTTCAGAAAAGCTTACGTTCTCTGGTCTCTGGAGGGTTGAATAATTTCACATAACATAACTACAGTACATGACTACAGTATGTTACATAAATTGTGTAAATGGTTCACATTAAAAAATAAATCATATTTTATTACTTACCTCACAATATAGATTTCTGCTCTCTTATGAAAATAAAAACATTTTAGCTCCAGGTAGGTTAACATTTCTATGCTTTCCTACTGTTTGTGAGTATTATTTTTCATTTCCCTTTCTTTTATAAAATGGAATGCAGCTCGGCCACATTATGCAACATGAAGCGTAAAGAACAACAGGTTCTTTTAAAGGAACAGCACACAATGAAAGCAACGCTGTGACGAGTGGGGGCGGGGCCGAGAGCTGTGGGAACGGAGCGAGGCCGGTGGAGTAATTGATAATGAGCGACACCTGCACCACTCACCGGTCTCGAGTCTCACGGAGGAGCTCCGGAAGGATAAAAGGAGGAGTGACGACAGTGAAAGACGAGAGCGGACCAGGCTGGGCTGTGTGCGGCAGTCGTCCGCTAGGGGCTGCCGCTTTACTTTAATTTTGTGTTTGTTTATTTTATTAAAGTTTTGTTTAAATGTTCGCCGGTTCCCGTCTCCTTCTTCCCGACCTACGAACTATGTTACAAACGCGTTCTCACTGACATTGATGCTTGGTCAGGACCCTTGGGCGTCACTTTTTAATTACCTCACTTTCTTTTTAACTCAAACCCTTTAGCATTCTTCTTCCTTCTTCTTTTTCTTCTTCTTCTTCTTCTTTTTGACGATCAGGGTGCTACTCCATTGCTTTCAATACACAGACACATGATGATGATGGTGATGATGTATGTGTGTGTAATAAAAAAAAAATACTACAACATGGCTTCCATCAATAATAATAACTCTATAACTATTAGAATATTTTCACTTCTTAATTATAATTGTCCAATGGCAATAATGATGGTAGAGAATTGAAATAATTTGTCCACATAATAATAACAACTTGTATTAATATTTTATTGTCGTATTTTTCTCATTTGTAGCTAAGTCTCATTGGATAGAAGCGTCTGCTAAATGAATATGTATTCATTTCAGGGGTCATATGATGCGATTTCAATTTTTCCTTTCTCTTTGGAGTGTTACAAGCTCTTGGTGCATAAAGAAGATCTGTAAAGTTGCAAAGACTAAAGTCTCAAATCCAAAGATATATTCTTTATAAAAGTTAAGAGTCAACCACACCTACCTAAAACTGCTCGTTCTAACACGCCCCCACATGTCTACATCACTATGTGGGAAGATTTGCATAACGCCGCCCAAATGTTCACGCAAAGAAAGAAGGCGTAACTTTTATTCTCGCTGTAGTATTGTTGCTGCCGCCACCATGCCGTGAAGATGCTGTGTGTTTCGTTGTGAAAGTGCATTTTATGGAGGACTGTTTCCTGATCCTGGGAGAGTAGACTACAATGCCGGCTGTTCTGACTCACAGACTGTAAGTACGTTTTTTATATTTACAGAAAAAGTGGCTGATCTTACTGTAAAATAAATAAATAAATTCAATAAAACAAACAAACAAATTGTTTGTATTTATTATGTATATAAAAATACACACACATGTATATATTTCAGAAAAATTGTTTATATATTAAATAGATGTATTTATAATATAAATGTTATGGATATAAACATAAACATGTAAATATGATCAAAATATATACTGTATGTGTGTGTATTTATATATATACATAATAAATATACACAGAACACACATATAATGCAAACATAAACTTTTATTTTGTATGCGATTAATCATTTGACAGCACTAAATTAAATATAAAGAGGCAATTAATTAAATTACGAATACATTCAAAAATTTGTCATACAATTTTCACAGTTTGTCATTGCTTATTGTTTTTAGTCTCCTAAGTAGTAGCTGAAGGCATGAAGAAAATTATTAAAATCAGCGTATTATTGAGGAAAATTTGCATTTGTGAATACACTTTTCTGCCAATAAAATAATGACATTTCCTATATAATCTATATTATTTCACAATGAGGAAAAGTATAGCACACGATGTTAAGGCGATTCTGAATCCGTTTTTGAAGCGAAGAATGTAGATAGATCAAACCAAAATTATTTTATAAGCGCAACAAAAAGGAAAAAGTTGGGAAACCACGACATGAAGGCGGTCATACGTCACTTCCGCCTGACGTACAGGCGGCCATATTACATTAGCGAACACGCTCGCGCACAGCAAGCCGTTGTTGACGCTGTGTTTTTAGGCAAGCTCTCTCGGTTAGTGTCACGATGAGCGGCGGCACGCCGTATATCGGCAGTAAGATCAGTCTGATCAGTAAAGCGGAGATCCGCTATGAAGGCATTCTCTACACCATCGACACGGAGAACTCCACCGTCGCGCTCGCCAAAGGTAAACAACACTCCTCAGACACAACACACTCCTCTCACGGGCCGTGCTGCCTGTTAAGCGGTCGTATTTAGCAGCGAGGCCGTGTCTCGAATGTAGCGAGCTGCCCTACATAGACAGCAGTGTAGCCTCGCGCTGGGCTTCGCTCCGCGCGCGCCGTGAACTGTGTAAACACTGGCTGCTCGGACGGTGATGTGGGATCTCACAGCGTGTTAGCGTAGGTGATGCGGGATCTCTCGCAGCGCTAGTGTGGGTGATGCGGGATCTCCTCCCTCTGTTCAGCTGATAGGTGTATTGTGCACTTAACCAGAGTTTCTGACAAAGTATCACTGTTTCTGTTATTACTGTAAAACCATTGTATAAATGTTGGATCTCCTTGAAACGGTGTAAGCAGACTATTGTTGATTTTTTAATTTGTGTATTGTTAGTGGTGGTTAATGCAAAGTTACCACAGTTGGTTTTTGTATTAGTAGTCACTTTGACTGAAACTGTGGTCTGTGGGCTGTTATTGTCATTCTTAAAATATTTTTTAGTTATTTTACATTGACTTATTTGAGCATAATAAGCAGTGCACTGACAGACTTGCTTGTTGCTTTAAATAATTTTATTTAATTTAACTTAATTACGTTTTCTTTTTTTCATTACGTTTTTTCTTTTAATCTCTTTTTAGAGAGAGATATTGTTTTCTTTCATATGATGATATATAATTGTTTATATAATTTCTAGAGAGCGAGAAATTATTAAATTAAATAAGTACAATTCTATGGGGAAAATAGTGATAAAACTTAACACTTATTAGTTTAACTATATAGTAACTGTTAGTTAGTGATGTTTCACTTGAGAATATTATCGCAACTGCTTTATTTGAGCATTATTCACACAATAAAGCTAAGATTATATTAACAGTTCAGTGTACTCCAGACTCGGTGTCCCAGACGCAAATGTTTAAATGATTCATAAAGATAAATCACTGTCTGTCCTCCTGAGAGTTCGGTATGTATGTTATAATTTTTACGAACTTGATTCTCGGTAGCATTACGGCAAACTGTGAGGATATATTAGCACTGTTTGTTGTTTGGAAAGGTCAGACTTGACTTAACTGGAATACTTGCTGTGCAAAAGCAGTCTGATTTTAAGAAGATTAGAGTCAATTATCTTTATTAAATTCAAATCTCAGAGGAAGACAAATTAGATGTATGTAAGCTCATTTAAAACTCATGAATTGCTCTTTTAATTCTTGTTGCAGTGTGCTCCTTTGGCACCGAGGACCGACCCACGGACCGTCCCATCGCACCCAGAGATGAGATATTTGAGTATATTATATTCAGAGGAAGTGACATCAAAGACCTGACGGTGTGTGAACCTCCCAAACCGACATGCTCTCTGCCTCAGGACCCCGCCATTGTTCAGGTACAGACAAGGACACACTCAGGGGTTAATGAGTGCCCTGTACAAATGAAAAAATGAACGTTTATAATAGGGATGCTCATTTTAACCTTTAAACGACCGTAGGAGTTTTGACCGATTAAAGGGGTCATATGATGCGATTTAAATTTTTCCTTTCTCTTTGGAGTGTTACAAGCTCTTGGTGCATAAAGAAGATCTGTAAAGTTGCAAAGACTAAAGTCTCAAATCCAAAGAGATATTCTTTATAAAAGTTAAGAGTCAGCCACACCTACCTAAAACGCCTCGTTCTAACACGCCCAACATGTCTACGTCACGATGTGGGAAGATTTGCATAACCCAAATGTTCACACAAAGAAAGAAGGCGTAACTTTTATTCTCGCTGTAGTGTTGTTGCTGCCGCCGCCATGTCCTGAAGACGCTGTGTTTTGTTGTGAAAGCGAAACTACTTTGTTTGGCCTTCCAAAAGAGGGCGATATCTGCTTCGTCATGCGTAGAGCTGATCCGTGCTGGTCGCTGAGGAAATCAACTTCGCGCTGTGGATCACCGAAACGGCTTTCACCGTGGACGAAGCAGAGTCCAGCCTGGGGTCATCACATGTGGTTGCTGCACGCCCGCCAGACACTCCATCTAATCTGGCGGTCATGCCGTTCTCAAGGCCGGACGCTCACTCTAGCCCGCCGGCCGTTTCCTCACTCTAGCCCGCCGGCCGTTTCCTCACTCTAGCCCGCCGGCCGTTTCCTCACTCTAGCCTGCCGGCCGTTCCTCACTCTAGCCTGCCGGCCGTTCCTCACTCTAGCCTGCCGGCCGTTCCTCACTCTAGCCTGCCGGCCGTTCCTCACTCTAGCCTGCCGGCCGTTCCTCACTCTAGCCTGCCGGCCGTTCCTCACTCTAGCCTGCCGGCCGTTCCTCACTCTAGCCTGCCGGCCGTTCCTCACTCTAGCCCGCCGGCCGTTCTTCACTCTAGCCCTCCGGCCTCCGCTCACTCTAGCCTGCCGGCCGTTCCTCACTCTAGCCCGCCGGCCGTTCCTCACTCTAGCCCGCCGGCCGTTTCCTCACTCTAGCCTGCCGGCCGTTTCCTCACTCCGTTTCCTCACTCTCTTTAACTTGTCTATAACTTGGCAAAAGACCATGGAATAAGCGGGATAATCAATGGCTTGCCTCTGTTTCGAATCGGGCAGTTCTTTGCCTGCACGTCGTGCATTTAAAATCCTTTAATGCACGGCAAGCCGTTGATTATCCCGTACTTCAATATCCACGTAAAACAAAATGTTTTGCATAACATCACGGAGGTACGGTGATAATGCTTAATGGCACAGATTTCACTACATATTTAAACTGAGCAGTGTGTGTTTTTTTTTTTCCATATGTTTGACTGACTATTTTATTATGATAATAAAGACCATGGAATAAGCGGGATAATCAATGGCTTGCCTCTGTTTCGAATCGGGCAGTTCTTTGCCTGCACGTCGTGCATTTAAAATCCTTTAATGCACGGCAAGCCGTTGATTATCCCGTACTTCAATATCCACGTAAAACAAAATGTTTTGCATAACATCACGGTGGTACGGTGATAATGCTTAATGGCACAGATTTCACTACATATTTAAACTGAGCAGTGTGTTTTTTTTTTTTTTTCCATATGTTTGACTGACTATTTTATTATGATAATGAACAGGCTGCATTATTGTCAAGGTAGCAATGCGGCGCCGGCGCAAGCACTTGAATTTTTTCCTTCTAACAGTGGAAGAAACTACTCCTTTTAGTCATAAAGATAATCGGAATTGTAAAAGGTTTGCTTTTATTTGTGGACATTCACAATAAAAACATATCTTTGTGCTTTTGTAAAATAAGCCTAAAGAAAAATAGGATGCCGCTTTCTGCCGTCTTGGTTTCCTTTCGTGGAGCACAAAAATGAACCGAAACTCTGCTAGGCTACTTGTTGCACAGTTTTTTCTTTTGTTTTCTTAATTTATTAAGTCAAAATATATTTGTCGTATAGGCCTATTTATTTGTTATATATATAATATTTTATTTTTTATAGACTAGTTTTATTGTTTTTCCACTCTGCAGGTGTGTGATGTGATATGAAGACCATGTGAATCCTCATGTTCTGTTGTTTGCTGCTTTTTGCGCGTGTAAAATGAATCCCCGGGAAACAAATGTTGCCAACGTTGCATGGAACACAATTTAAGCATCTTTGAAACAAATTAACTGAACCGCCTCCAAACTAGTTCCATCAGAAAAGGACTGGCACTCAAAATGCAGTCTAGGTCGGCAGCTCATTAGCTTTCTGATACTGAAACTAGCAAAAACATGTATTAAGAAATTAAATTTGAGCTTTGTTTGATAGTTCTTAGATTGCATGGTATTGGTTTTCAGTTCATGAGCAGTGACCTCATCATGCTTTATTCATCTGTTAGTCCTCTATGGGATCTTCCACTGCCCCACCATCATCCTTCCAGACTGGGAACTCCTATGGGCTGTTCAACCGTCCACAAGTCACGCCATACACCCAGTTCAACCCCAGCCCACTGGTCTCACCGCGGTTTGGCACTGTTGGAGTCGGTAAGTCCCCTTTACAGCTTTGTAAAATAATAACATACAGCTGTGAAATACTGCAACACCTCCATTAATTTGTTACAAGGTGCTGAGCAGAAGTGATGGAACAGGATATTTAAGTCCACATTTGATGATGCTATGGCACCTCTGATGTGTGTGCGTGCTCTTCCTTTCCTCACAGGAAGTACAATAGGATTGTTTGGTAGTGACACTGTAGGCCTGCGTGATAAAACGGTATCGGTATTTATCGACGGTACACCTTCAATAACGATAGAAGAAAATGTTTGATATAGCGCACGGTATAGGCTTGTGCTATGAGTGACAAGCAGACAGCACACACAAACACGAACACATTCTGAGTGCTGTGCCTGGCTGTGATGAGGAGATTGTGAATAAAAAATTAATATTAGTCAAATTTAAAATCTAAATTTGCATTTGAATGCAAAAATGGTGCAATCGAATGTTAGGTGTGCGTCGGTGAGGGCGCGTCATCAGTGGCGCACGAGATGCGGTGATGATGATGTAGTGTCTTTGACGTACTTTATTGTTTTTGTTAGTCTGTCCAGTTGAACCCACAATAACGCACGCTGCTGCGTTATTCATTCAAAATATTAGAGAAATGTAGAAGCTCAATGCGGAGAAGTTATTGATTAATCGGTGAGGGCGCGTCATCAGTGGCGCACGAGATGCGGTGATGATGATGTAGTGTCTTTGACGTACTTTATTGTTTTTGTTAGTCTGTCCAGTTGAACCCACAATAACGCTGCTGCGTTATTCATTCAAAATATTAGAGAAATGTAGAAGCTCAATGCGGAGAAGTTATTGATTAGGTTAAAACCGAAACCAAGCCATTCACACAGAACACATATTAGGAGCATTTTTGGGACAGACAACTATGACTGTTGCACTCGCGTCTCACGCAAGAAATGTATAGAAAGCCATGTAAAGTTAAAAGAGTTTAAACTTTTAGAAGTTTAGCCCACTGCAGAGAAACCGGCATTTTACGGTACGTCAAATACAGGTGCGCTGCGCACTACATACTGCGCATCTATTGAGTACATGACATGATCCATTGAGCGCATCCAAATAGTACAGATTGCTTGACGGAGAGCGAAACTCTCAAGCGCTCAGTCAGCGTGTTTATCGAGTGAAAATCTGTGTTGAACGCCTCTCTCACACATTCTGGCGAGTAAAATCTAAGAATTTATTAGCCAATGGCTAATGTTAGACATTATTTAGTCGCCCAGAGGAAGATATAGTCGCATATGCGAGTGATTTACTCGCAATGTAGAGGGTTGTTTATATATGTTAAGTTAGATGTTGTGCACGGTTTTTTATAGACTGTTATTTTAATTGCATTATATAAACAATTTAATGCGCTGCATTGTTGCTCATTGCGCCCTCCTGTGGCTATTTAATCTGCATATAAAACATAAGAAATTAGATATTTATTTAAATAGTATTTTGTGTTTGACTGTTCAAACAAAAAGATACTTGTTTGTCTTAAATTGGGTCAATTAAAAATAAAGTGGTTGAATTTAAACATTTTCTTCTATTGCTCTGTTTTAAAAAAGGTTATAAAAAATGTCAATAATTATCGGTACCGAATGATATGAAACATTATATCGTTGATACATTTTTTAGCTATATCGCCCAGCCCTATGACACTAGCATGACTGCAGCACTATCTCAGAGCAGTAATGTTGCATCTGCTTTCAACAGTGCATTCGTAGCAGAAGATAAACCTCTCCCTGGGGGCCAAAATCAAACTATTCAAAGTTCATAAGCCAAATGATTTGGGTTCATCTAACTGCTAAATCAAATCAAAATTTTATCAGTGTGAAATAAAGCTACGTGTTTAGTACTCTACAAGATCCAGACAGTTTGGTGGTCTCTTGTGTCTCAGTTGTCTCTTGAAAGTTTCATGTGTAACAGTTTCACTTCTCACTCTCGGAGTACGTTTAAAGGCACCTGAATGTAGAGGAAAAATGAGTGGGTTAAATAGCTTTCTGATAACCTAAATAACTTACAGGCCACATACACACTGCAGACATTTGGGAATAATCACATTAAATGGGATATACAGGAGTTAACGTAATGTATCTGGGGAAATGGATACAAACTGTTTAACCCATTTACTTGACCAGACTAACTTTAATGAACAGACATTATTATCCGACATTATTATCCGACAATAATTCTCATTAATTCTCATCTTTTTGACCTTCTCAATAGACTTAAGCTTGCTAATCTTGCTTGGTGCCCTCTTGTGATTGGAGCGTATAGGGTTGCCTTCCCAATAAATCCATGGGAAACTTTACTATGTTTCACAGGTTTTCTTGGTTGCTATCCAGAATCTTCTGGCTGGCAGGTCCACCCTAACCTTCCCCATGTGTTTCGACCCTCAGTTAAGAGACTCAAATTAGTGGGTCAGTAGTACAGGACAACCCATCACTCATGTCCTGGCTGCAAGCTCAGTTCTTCTCTCTGGTTTCATTAAAACAGTAGATTCTTTCTGGTGATTCTTCAGCCTTTGTGCTATTGCATAATTTTTGGTCTCCACATTAGCGCCTTTCGCACCACTTTAGTTCCAGAACTAAATGGACAGTACTAAAGCTGTCGCGTCCGGTGTAGACTCATTGTCTGTGTGTGAGCAAAGAAAAAAATCAGTATAAATATAACTATCAGTATACTAAACATCGTACATCCTGCAATGTGACTATTGCGACTGTGCACATTGCGATATCGATGCTGAAACGATATATTGTGCAGCCCTAGTGCAAACAATAAGTTTTCATGACCACGTAGCACAGCAACATCACATGAGCGTGTAACCGCGATAGACACAATAGTCAAATTGCTAACGGTTGATCATTTTCTGCCGGTTAAACGTGTCTACCAGTATATCGCCCACCCCTAGATCAGAGCATTAAAACTTTCCACCTAGGTACATCTCCACACCTGTGGGCACAGTTTAGCACATTTGGCCTTGGTGCAAAATGGGGATAAGTGACTTGCTCATTACTTAATGTCCTGCTTCAGAATGCCTGTGAGCATCGATACTTTATCATGGCACCACCTGTACTTTCCCTGGGTCACTGCTGCCTTGCAAACTGACAGGATGTGTGCCTTTGAGGCCCCTTTACTCTGAGTTTGCAAACCGAGACTTTTCACAATCACCACCTGTGCAAATTCTCCAGGGATTAGAAGGCATTGTAGACTACCCTAAATAGAAAAGCTTGAAAAAGTCTCCAGTAGGGCTACGACTAACGACTTAATTTACGATTAATCTATCGACTAATTCATCGATAAATCTAAACGATTAATTCCCCACAAAAAAAATCAACAATTTTATTAAACTTTCAACTTTGCCATTCTGTAGTGTACCATAAAAAAGTTTAAATGTAAACAAGCCATTGACGAAATGTAAAACTAAAAGAGTAAAAATTAACTAACCTAATAAAAATGAAATAAAGAAAATTACAAAAGTTTGAGAAAGTCAGCATGTTCTTAATGTCAATATATCCACATGTTCTAGGCTTCTGTTCATTGTAGCTGTGTGAGTGCAACTACAAAGGGAAAAACTAATTTCAATTAACCCCAACAGTTGGGTTTTCACATTACATAAATGCAGTGTTTAGAGTCCACTAGTATTAAAATTTTATTATTAACAATTGTAAGTATTAAAAGTACACTTAGAAATGTGTAAACAACAGATTTAAACAGAAATCTCCAGCATGATGATAAAAAATTATAATTAGTCGTGAAACTCCAAATTAAATCCAAATTTCTATGAAATCCTTTTTTTAAAGCAAAAGTAAAGTGCAACAAGCAAGTGTCCATCTCATAGTCCAAATCACTGAAATCAAAGTTCAGTATTATAGTGTAAGAATGACAACATGTCCATGTGTTCTGGTCTACTACTAATAAAATATTATAATTAATTTTTGTGGTAATAAAAATAGATGTAGGTTAAGTGAACAATAGCCTTTAAATGTACTTAAAATACATATACAATAGCAATGAGGCAATAATAATTAGTTCAAATAAAGTATCAAAAGCAAGATATCACATGGTTTTATTGAACAAAACTGTTAAAATACTGTATTATAATGTAATAGAGCCACTGATCGATTGCTTTTACACATTACTGTGCGATCTAATACTTGTTTAATATTTACCAAGCATCATTTAATTCAAATGTCCACTTAATCTTTAATATTTGGCCATTTCTTTACAACAGAAATGCTATAGCCACTGTAATTTATGAATATGTGGACATCAAAACTAGAGCCCGACCGATATGGGTTTTTTGGGAGCGATACCGATATTAGGGAGTAAATAAAAAGGGCCGATACCGATATATTGTGTATATTATAGTACAGTACCAGTCAAAGGTTTGGACACTTTCCCATGCGTGTGTCCAAACATTTGACTGGTACTATATATAGAATACAGTATATGCATAAACAGAATATATATACATAAACACATTTTTTGCAATGATCACTCAAATGTGGTGATCAAACACTTATAATGGTGATGGAGATATGTAAGGGCGTTTAACAATTTAACAATAAACTTGCGATAAGTCTACCGACACGCGAAGGGTGGCGTTCAAGGGGGTTCCTCGAGCTGAAGGGATCCCCCGAATTTGGTGCGGAATTGCCGCGCCGTTACGGAGATATGGCCGTTCAAAGTTTCAATGGTTTTCCATAGACTTAAGCTTTAAAGCGTTTCATCCAGGTCGCAAACAATGGAGCGCGCTCTGCTGGACAAACTAAGTAATTACACCATTTCAAGCATTTTATCTGCATTATATGTTCTGTAAAAAAATGTTCATATAGGCAGCATATTCGCCGATACCGATATATCGGCGACAGGCTCATATCGGCCGATAATATCGGCAAAACGATATATCGGTTGGGCTCTAATCAAAACGTGTAAACTCAGAGTGAGGGTTTGAGCTTTTATTTTGAAACCGCAAGATAATGTATTCTCCTGTGTTTGCGTGGATTTATAAATGATTTACCTTACAAATCTGATGAAATGGTGCACATTGCATTCCCAGGTGAACGTTATAATAAACCCAAACTCACAACAACATGCAGAGATGGAGTTTGAGCCGCTCCACACATGTAAATTATATCAGTTCCTGTGGAACAGCATTTACTGTGAACGGAGCCGATGTGAGATGCACGTACGTAACCTACACGCCTATAACAGCATCACATACAATTATTTAATTCAATCGTAGCGTTTGTGAATTCACCGTTATGCTTAATTATGATTTTTAAATGGGTTTTAATATATCATGAGGCCTTGGAAAACAGTCTAATAATGTTTTATGGATTCTCGTCCGTAAAATGCACCATTTCCGGTATTTTGCCAGTTAGTCGACGCAGGCAAAATGAAGCCGAGGATTTTTTTAAATCGAGTAGTCAAATAGCATCGATGAATCGCGACAGCCCTTGTCTCCAGACTTATGCAGTAATGTTGTCATCTTCGAGGTGGGAGGACCTACCTTGTCCATTATCCTTGAAGCTCCTACTTTCCATCGTACCTCTTCCCAGGTTTCTCACATTTGCTTAGACTATGACTTCTGTCATTGGGCTGGATCAGGGATGGGCAACTCTGGCCCTCAAGGTATGCAATGTCCTGCCGAGTTGAGCTGCACCCCTAATCAAACACTCCAGAAAAAGTTCTCAGGTTTACTTCAAAATTCCAAGTGGGTGTGTTTGATTCATTGTGTTACTGACATCACGCATTGTGGGCATTTGTATAGACCACAAAACTCTGCGGGACCTTGGGGTCCAGAGCTATCCACCATTAGGCTGGGTTGTCTCCATTGTTGGTGGTGCCAAGACTATTCCTTTCAGTGCTTGGGTTTCCTATGATGTTCCTTGGTTTAGGTGGCCATTCTGTTGGAGCTACTAGTGCACTAGGAAGCCACTTCCACCATGATTGTGTAGTAGTGACGTTAGCCTCTGTGACATGTCCCTGTATGTCATAAGTCAAAATCTGTGAACTGCTTCTAAAGTTTGGTTCTGTGCACTCTTATTTAAATTTGCACTGCAAATGTATTAAGTTTGGTTGTCAGAACCTGAAGTTTTCTGTTGTCGCTCCTGAACAGAAGCTGGTTTAAGCCCTCTAGAACAACTGTATTTAGCTGCTGTGTGTACATGGCCACTGTGTGTCTTTCGAAACTTTGATTTAAAATTTCTCCAAGTACTTTACAGTTGAGTGTGTGTCTGGATTGTGGTGACCTCGGTTTAATTAATAAGTGACTTAACACAATTCACAAGATTTCGTCTTCTAACCAGCACTGATTTCCTCATCAGGGTGGCTGCAGTTCTTAACCTTTTCACTATAAACTGTAGATTACGTTAGAGTCTCTTAACTTTCACCATTATTTTTATACAGATCACACCAATCTGGCTCTGGACCCTCTGCGAAAGAACCCCCCAGCGGAACCTGCTGCCTCATCAGCACCTGCTCCCACAGCCGTGGCTCGCAAGAGCCCCGTGGAGACTCGCGCAGCCTCCACCAACACACAGACGCCTGTGGACCTCACAGAACATACTAGAGGTGAGAATAAATCCAGATGCCAACTTGCTGCTCAAGACCGAAGTGTTGCAGTTCCGTTACCACTTTTCCAAATGATGCTTAAAGGGTTAGTTTTTTTAACCTTTGGCCATGTTTAGCTTGAGAATCCAACTCCAACAGTGTAAATAACTCAACATGTATGAAATGGCATTAACCCCCCCCCCCCCCCCCCAAAAAATTTTTTTTTATAGATTTCTAGGGCTCCCTCTGTGACATGTCCCTGTATGTCATAAGTCAAAATCTGTGAACTGCTTCTAAAGTTTGGTTCTGTGCACTCTTATTTAAATTTGCACTGCAAATGTATTAAGTTTGGTTGTCAGAACCTGAAGTTTTCTGTTGTCGCTCCTGAACAGAAGCTGGTTTAAGCCCTCTAGAACAACTGTATTTAGCTGCTGTGTGTACATGGCCACTGTGTGTCTTTCGAAACTTTGATTTAAAATTTCTCCAAGTACTTTACAGTTGAGTGTGTGTCTGGATTGTGGTGACCTCGGTTTAATTAATAAGTGACTTAACACAATTCACAAGATTTCGTCTTCTAACCAGCACTGATTTCCTCATCAGGGTGGCTGCAGTTCTTAACCTTTTCACTATAAACTGTAGATTACGTTAGAGTCTCTTAACTTTCACCATTATTTTTATACAGATCACACCAATCTGGCTCTGGACCCTCTGCGAAAGAACCCCCCAGCGGAACCTGCTGCCTCATCAGCACCTGCTCCCACAGCCGTGGCTCGCAAGAGCCCCGTGGAGACTCGCGCAGCCTCCACCAACACACAGACGCCTGTGGACCTCACAGAACATACTAGAGGTGAGAATAAATCCAGATGCCAACTTGCTGCTCAAGACCGAAGTGTTGCAGTTCCGTTACCACTTTTCCAAATGATGCTTAAAGGGTTAGTTTTTTTAACCTTTGGCCATGTTTAGCTTGAGAATCCAACTCCAACAGTGTAAATAACTCAACATGTATGAAATGGCATTAACCCCCCCCCCCCATAAATATATTTTTGATGAAATCTGAGAGCTCTCTGACCCTGCATAGAGAGTACCACGAGGCATGTGCGCGCTTACTCCTGAACGTATTAAGCGTTGTTTACATTCAGGAGAAAATATGCTCATGCTGAACGCAAACAGCACTGATTATGTTCTGGAGAAAGCGCGCACATGTGCCGTGGTACTCTCCAAAATGGTGGAAGACGTTCAATTGGGGGAGAAGAATTGTTGAATAAATGATTTTTGTTTCCTTGGCGCACAAAGTATTCTCATAGCTTCGCAAAATTGAAGTTGAGCCACCGATGTCACATGGACTGTTTTACCGATGTCTTTGCTACGTGTCTGGACCTGGGAACATTACAGTTGTGTTGCTGTCTATGGGAGGGTCAGAGAGCTCTCAGATTTCATCAAAAATATCTTAATTTGTGTCCGAAGATGAACAAAGGTCTTATGTGTTTGGAACGACATGAGGGTGAGTAATTAATGACAGAATTTTCATTTTGGGGTGAACTAACCCTTTAAGGGGTTCACAGAGAATGCGTCTTGGCGTTTAAAAATGAGACGCACTTAAGAATACCAAAAACAAAAAGCGCAGAACATGACACATGATGCAATAACAGAAAATAGCCAAGCAGCAGAATTGATGGAGAATATCAGGCTCTTTTTTTTTTTTTTAAGAAACAGGTTTTCATAATCGCTTGCAGAAATGTTATATAATTCAGGCTATCTAGTCATAGCCACTGAGTGCCTCATTTGCGACACTGCGAGATGCAGCAAAAGACGCGAGCACAACGGTCATACACATCCAACTAGCATTTGTTTACATAGAAAAACAAAGGATAAATAGCACATTGGCGTGGAAAAATGGGCTCTGTGTGATCGGCCCCTAACAGGATTTGCTATTGTTGGCTTGTGAACTGGGATGGCCTTATGTGCTTTTCAATCGGGACACGTCCTGGCCAGGATTTTTATCTTGCCTAAAACATCCAAAGTAATTTGACCAATAACATGCAGGTATTGTGTATATAATCGACCAGTCGTGGCGCGTGAGAAGGTTAGATCTACAGAGAGCGATCAAAGCGATGCAAATACGCGCACGTGATTGTTTGTTCGACTTGAAGCGTCGATCATTGAATGACACAAGTACCGCAAGAGCGATTCGAAAGCACAAGGAGCCGTCTGCTCTGCTCTCATGAATGTCATACAACGATTGATCTGCACCGTGCAAACAACCAAAACCTGGATATTTTAGGCAATATAGAAATCCTGGCAAGGATGCGTCCCGTAAAAAATGGCCCGTATGGTCACCCTTTGACTAAAACAATGAGGAAGTCAGTTTGGGTATTCCCCTGTCTGACTTCATCTGAAATGTGCCGATAGTCATAGTTCAACAGTTTTGGAGAACATATTTGAACACCCATGGCCATTTAATTTGTCATTCTAGTTGTTTTAAAAACTGAATGAGAATGTTAGTGGTACTACAATAATGTTTGGACCTACGATGCCCAAGTTTGCTGTCCAGGACAGGTAGGTAGTTTTTAAGACTCAGCCTATGACTCGGGCTGTTTACTATGTCACTTGACAAAGGTAATGGATTCGGTGTAGTCTTTTAGGAATTACAGGCCTTTTATTAGGGCTTCTCAGAAAAGGAACAATATTAAGAATCGAGAAACATGACACCGTATGAACGATACTAGTGTTCTGCTACAAGGATTTGGTACAGCTTAATGTGTTTTAAAGAGTTATACTCTCCCAGGCACGGATGTCCCGAAACCAAGCGTACCAGAGTCCAGTCAGTCCAGAGGAGGAAACAGGGACGCTTCTAAACGGCTTGCAGGTTATAACACGTCTGCTGAAAAGCCTTTCACCGCAGTTTTGTTGTGCTGTTGGATGCTAAAACTGCATGATTCTTATAAGAGCTTCGTCCGTCTGTATTTCACACGCATCCACACAGTGGAATTTAGCAAGCTCCTTTCTTAGCATGACACCGTATGAACGATACTAGTGTTCTGCTACAAGGATTTGGTACAGCTTAATGTGTTTTAAAGAGTTATACTCTCCCAGGCACGGATGTCCCGAAACCAAGCGTACCAGAGTCCAGTCAGTCCAGAGGAGGAAACAGGGACGCTTCTAAGCGGCTTGCAGGTTATAACACGTCTGCTGAAAAGCCTTTCACCGCAGTTTTGTTGTGCTGTTGGATGCTAAAACTGCATGATTCTTATAAGAGCTTCGTCCGTCTGTATTTCACACGCATCCACACAGTGGAATTTAGCAAGCTCCTTTCTTATAGAGGACTTCTGATTGGTGAATCTCATGCAACCTGATGAGTGTGTTTCACCCTACCATTAAAAAGAACAAATGCTTTTAAGAAACCTGTTTTTTTGGACCAGTAGGCTTCACGTGACATTATTTTCACTAAATAAGAAAGATTTCCCCGGAAGTCTCTTAATTGTAATGTGCAAAAAAAGTTAAAAGGTCTCATTTTAATGTTATGTAATTAAAATTGTAGCACTTGTTCTTTACCAATCTGCTGATGTTAATTAAGACTGTAGTGGGAGAGCACCAATTGCACCCATATTGTTTTTTTTTATTTTGGTGGAATGGTGACCCGAGTATGCTTTCATGAGATTCACTCAATATGCTGAATTTGCTCATATCTCCTCTGTGTGAAAAGGCCTCTGCGTTCTTAGGATTCTTAGGTGACTCTGTTTTCACACAAGTTGTGCTTGTTTTAATTTAGTTTGATTACTTCTAAGTAGACTTAGAAGCTTTTTTCTGCACACCGACAACTAAACTTAACTAAAGTCTGTGAGAATAGACATTTTACATTTATATTAGCAACTGAATGTCACGGCATGCTTAATTTTAATTATTTTTTATGACGTTTATAAATGTGTATTTTATGTGTTTATGACAATGTATTTGTATCTAGAGCTATACTCGTGTGTTTGTTCTGCTCAGCTGGTGGTCCTCCTGCTGCGCGCCGCGGTTGGGCCGGAGGTCATCGTGGTAGAGGACGGTTCCCTGTGCGAAGAGAAGGACCCATGAAGTTTGAGAAAGACTTTGACTTTGAGAGCGCCAATGCTCAGTTCAACAAAGACGAGATTGACAAAGAGTTCCAGAGCAAACTCAAACTGAAAGGTACAAACAGGTTACCAAATATGCAAGATCAGCTGATAAACTACATGTTAGCATACTTTTAAAAAGAGAAAATATATGGTAACACTTTATTTTAAGGTATCCTTGTTACACGTTACATGTACTTACTATTATAATAACAATACATTATGCATAATTACATGCAAGTAACCCAAAGCCAAACCCTAATCCTAACTCTAACCATATAGTAAGTAAATGTAGTCAATTAATATCACTCAGTACTTAAATGTAAAATTACACACAAAATTTACAAAAGTACACACATTCAGTATAGAGCTCAGATTCACAGCAGATGACATTCTCATACTGTAGTCTATAGAAAAATGCAGGTATATTTCTGTGTATTAACTGTATATGTTTGGTCAGATGAGAAGTCCGAGAAAGCTTTGAATGGCGAGGATAAGGGTGATTCTGGGGTCGACTCTCGGAACAACGAAGGAAACGTTGATGAGGAAGATCCTCTCAGACCAAAATGCTACTACGATAAATCCAAATCCTTTTTTGACAACATCTCCTGTGACGACACAAGGTCACATCACATCCAGCACACCTTTAATAATATGAGCCTAAACATTTAATATAAACAAGTTCATAAATCTTGTCATTGTACCTGATTTTAAACAGGAAGGAGAGGTTTGGAGGGTCCGGTTTCCCCCGGTGAGTACAGCAGAAGCCAGCACTTATTGGAAGTAGCCTCAGTTTGTGTAGAAACGTGCAACGAAAAATTTGTAATTTTCATAATTTCATTGTTAAGAGAGAGGAGGCAGACCTGGGCGACGGAGCGGAGGATGAACGCAGAGACGTTTGGCCTCCCGTTGCGGCGGGGCCGCGGAGGCTTCAGAGGTCGCGGTGGCATGGGCTTCAGAGGGGGCCGGGGCCGCGGAGCCGGATGGGGGTCGTTCGGATCTCACCCTGGTGGAAGTGGCTTCAGAGGGGCATTCAGAGGAAGTCAAGGAGGAAGAGAGTTCTCTGATTTTGAATACAGGGTAATGAACGAGTCAAAAATGAATCTCGTGATATACATCCACATTTTATATAAATGTGCTTTATAATATAAATGTATTAGGGATGCACGATATTATCGAACCGATATCGGAATCGGCCGATAATGGCTTGAAATGTAAATATCGGCATCGGCCCGATAAGTTTTGCCGATAAGAGGATTAACTCACATGTGATCAGGGCTGTTGGCCTACTTATAACAAAATGAAAGTAAAATACACAAATATCACTAAGAAACTTGTGTTTCTGAATAAACAAAGCAGTATCAATGTAATAAAATCATGAGTATGTTTTAATTTAAAGGTCAGAACCTATAGCTTACATGAATAAAAAAAAAATCACAAACAGGACCATTGTAAATGAAATGATTTTATATATGCAAATGTATTCATTGTGTAAGTTTTATTTTATTTATTTATTTTTTTTTAATTATGAGCTCTAAAAGATTTTCAGAATTTCTACGACTCTTTTGCCTTAGACCATCTATAAATGTTAAATCTTAAAATAATATTGTAAGGTTACCACTGCATCTTTCTGAAAAAATAAAGAAAAATGCAGCGATTGAGAGAGAGATATATATATAGTTGATTTGTAATTTATTTTTAAAGCTTTCAATGTCATTATAAAATAACTGAATTATTGTTTATTTAATTCTAACAAATACGTTTTTCTTAAACTAACCAAATTAAAAAATGTGTTTATAATTTCCACACAGGAAAGACTTGACTTGATTCCAAACTAAAGGAAATCTATCGGTATCGGCTATCGGCCAAAATGAGTTGAAAAATATTGGCATATAGGATATCGACAAAAATCCAATATCGTGCATCCCTAAAATGTGTGGCGCTTTCCTCTAATAGGGTACAAATTGTTGACCTGTTCTTTTTTTTGTCTAACACTAATAATAATTTGTTTTGTTTATATAGTGCTTTTCCAGTGCTCAAGGACACTTTACAGTAAAGATACAATTAGAAAAGAAAAATATCAATATTATAAGCAAGAATGACATTAGTATAAGTTAATATTAGAAAACAGGACACAATAAGGACCATAAGAATGATAACATTCAGAAAACAAAGAGATGTAGGACATAACTTACAAATGTTAACACTCAGAGAACAGATGAGTTTTAAGAAGTGATATAAATTCGCAGGAGAGAGTTCCATAATTTGGGTTCAGCAGTGCTAAATGGTCTACCCCCCACTGAAGCAAGGTGAGACCGTGGGATACTGAGAAGACCAGAATCAGAGGAGTGTAATGAGCGAGTTAGGCTGTAAGGGAGGATCAGTTCACAGAGATACCAGGGAGCCAGGTTGTGCAACTTTGTTTAAAAGTGAGCAGGAGAATTTTGAATTTAATAATGATATACAACCGGAAGCCAATGGAGATTGAACAAAATGAGTTATGTGAGCAGAGCACTTGGTGTGTGTGTGTGTGAGTAGTCTAACAGCAGAATTTTGAATTTACTGTAACCTGGAAATGGCAGGTAAACCAATGAAAAGGGCATTGCAATAATCAAGGCGGGATGAAACAAAAGCATGGATAATGGTGTCAGCATCTTTAACACTAATGAGACGACGGAGCTGGACAATGCGACATCATTGAAAGAATGCTGGTTTGGTGACAGTAAATATGAGCTTAAAAGGAGAGAGATGAATCAAAAATAACAGAGATTTTTAACGGTACAAGATGATCTAATAAGAGTACCAGCTATCTCACAAAAAGAGTCATCAGGAATGTTTCTAGTGAGTGATGGGGGTGCAACAATAATGATAATGTTTAGTTAAAAAGAAAAAATCATGCTTAGTTAAAAATGAGAGGTTAGACAATTTTTTATTTTATTTCATGTAAGCAGATATTTTGTCAATTTGAGTGGATAGAGTAGGCCTACAGAGTATATTTGAATGTCATCAGCCTATAAATGGTAATAAAAGTCATGTCAGTGCAAGTGAGTAGTCTAGCAGCAGAATTTTGAATTTACTGTAACCTGGAAATGGCAGGTAAACCAATGAAAAGGGCATTGCAATAATCAAGGCGGGATGAAACAAAAGCATGGATAATGGTGTCAGCATCTTTAACACTAATGAGACGACGGAGCTGGACAATGCGACATCATTGAAAGAATGCTGGTTTGGTGACAGTAAATATGAGCTTAAAAGGAGAGAGATGAATCAAAAATAACAGAGATTTTTAACGGTACAAGATGATCTAATAAGAGTACCAGCTATCTCACAAAAAGAGTCATCAGGAATGTTTCTAGTGAGTGATGGGGGTGCAACAATAATGATAATGTTTAGTTAAAAAGAAAAAATCATGCTTAGTTAAAAATGAGAGGTTAGACAATTTTTTATTTTATTTCATGTAAGCAGATATTTTGTCAATTTGAGTGGATAGAGTAGGCCTACAGAGTATATTTGAATGTCATCAGCCTATAAATGGTAATAAAAGTCATGTCAGTGCAAGATTTGATGCAGGGGGTAGTATGTAAATAAAAAATAATAGTGGGCCAAGAACAGATCCCTGGGGGACACCTTGCTTCAAATGGGCAGTAGGGGAGCTAAAATTTTGGGTTTAGATTTTGGCCCACCTAACTTGAGCACCTCGAATGTATCCAACTAATAAAACCAAAATATCCAACGATATAACTTTTCCCACAATTAACTGAATTTACATTCCACAGATTAATTTACTCTAAAAGAGTGTGCAACCCCGTTATCGCATGATTCTCCCACTATTTAACAATGAGGTGCTCCTTTTAATTGACATCATGGAAGTCGCATCGTTTGGTCAGATCTTTCTGCAGAATGGTGCACAGAAAAATGATCGCCGTTTTTTTTTTTTGTTTGTTTACTCGTTGGGATGATAACATTTATGTAGCACAGCCATTCAGCAAATTCACCAAAGTTATAAGAAAGTGTTCTTTAATTAATGGGAAATAAGTACAATAACTATAAACCAAAGAATCAGCTGTGAAAATATAAAAAAATTATGTATCTTGGGGGGAAAAAATCTAAATTATACACATTATAAATTACTTGGTTTTTAGATTTATTTTTTTGTAGCTATTTACTTTTTCTCTCTCCATTTGTTTCTCTAGAAGGATAACAAAATCGCTGCATAGGGATGAGAGGAAGTGGATCCAGAAGACCTGATTTGTGTGGGAACTGCATTTCAGGGCACATGTTTTGCTGAGAACGAGGAGATAAACGTACGTCTTGTAAATCTGTCACCAGCACTGGGGTTCGACTGCTTGAAACCTGGATATTAATGAAACACCTGCTCCATTTCTTCCTGAGGAGTGGAACACATACTATTTTTTGAATTGTTAATTTGAGAAGAATCTCTCCAGATGGTTTCAAATATATTATGATTTCTGAGGGACTTACTTTTCCTTAGTTTGTTGACCTTCAATGCTCAACCTGAATTTGATCTTCTGCTGCTTACAGCTAACAGATTATAATCTCAAACAATGCATCGTGATGGTTCTGATCACTGAATGAGCTTTATTTTTGACTTGTTTGCTATAAAGTATCTTAGTGTATTTAGCATCAAAATAGACTGCCTGGAACTCAGTTATACATAGTTATATTTTTCTAACGTAATTTCATTCAACCTCAAACATCACTATTCCTATTCCTGCAGTAAGTAGATTTTTCTTTTTCTTTTTAATATATATAAACTAGTACGTTGGACGTAGATTTCTTTGGATGTATCGATCCCTTGTAAGAGGTCTGTAGTTTCTAGTGAGGTTTCTCATCAGGGCAAGCGCTTCAAGACGTTTCACTAAAGGATATTTTAGATATAATGGAGAAAAACACAGAAATGCAGTCTTTAGGGAAACGGTTCCTTACGAATATGAAATAGCACAACTTTAAATGACACGATGTGGTCAACCAGTGCAAAGCGACCTCTGTGATCTGTTTATATATTCTGTGGGTTTGATTTATATTTGATGAGGTCCACTTTGCAGTGTGTAGCTCTTTGTAGCAGATGTTTACCGATAAGTGAACGTCCATCTTTACTAAGGAAATAATGCTACTCTGTGAGTCTACAGAAACCTATGCTGCGGCTACTTTGACGATGCATTCTTGCCACTTTTGAGCTTCTACCGCTAACAATTATATGCCTGTCCTTCAACATTCTTCACCTCATAAAACATCAGGTGAAACAGGCATGTCACACTGAGCCTAGAGCTGGCTGGAAGATTATTCAATAGCACTGCTTCCCAGTGGGTGGTTTCTTCTGTTTCTGTCTTTAATGTGAGCGAAAGCTGGACCGTTGAAAAGCCACAATGTGTTGTGTTCTGTAATGCAGATGCTGTTTATCTTTTCCCATCGCTCCTCGTTCAGCCGCGGTGCGTTTTATAGCCACTGACTGCACTAGCATGATGTCATAGGGTCATGTGACCTCATGCACATTGTGATGTCATAGCCACACCTACGCATCGCTCAAGATGTCACTTCAGCCGCGTTTTGATTGGATACATTTCATTTTGTAACCAAATTCACATTATACTCGCAGTGGAATAAGTAAAATGCTGCGATTTAAAGTCGTTTTTTTTTTTTATAGATTTATAACTGAAGTTGAAGGTTTGATATTTTAACTGGCCAGTTTTTCATCTCTCCGTTCGCTTCAGATTGGATTGTGTGGCGTATGGCTGTGACAGCACTGCAAAAATGGTTTCGTTTTGTTAAATGTTTGTTTAAACGGTTGGGATCGGTGGGTCAGTTGATAACGAAATAAACTGTTTTCAGATTATAGCGTGTATTAAAGTCCAAGTTTGTAAGACGCAGAACATTTTGAGTTGTGGATCTTGTGTGAATATCCTTTTGCACTTGTCAAGCTCTTAAATTCAGAGCTGCTTTATTCCGGTAATAAACGTTCATTTGTATCTGACTAAAGTGAATCTTCATCTGAAGCACATGGACATGATTTAATTAGGGCTTCATAATTAACTCCTCAATAGGAAAAAAATAATAAACATCCATGTTGTCCTAAAATATAACTTTTTTTTTATATATTCCTATATAATTATTAGGAGCGTTAGGGTATTATTAGTTTGTTGACTTGATTCCAGAGTTTTCTTTAGAGGCTGTGTGTTAGTGTAAATTCCAGCGGTGTGTTTGTTCAGTGTTGGAACCGTGACACTCGCGTATAAACGTGTGTGTGTGTGTGTATATATATATATATATATATACTCGTCACAAACCACCGATCTTGGAGATGCTTGTGAGGCAAATGCTGTTCTGGAAATGTCTTGTGATGAGCACCAAATCCTTCCATCAGGGTCGACACGCTGTCCTTGTGAACCCCGGCATGGAATCTGTTCACGACTACATGTAAAGAGCTTTTTACTAGATGCAAGAATAAACTGTTTACTATCTGTTATGCGATTACATTTTTTGGGTTGAGTGTTTGTGCTCCATACATTAGTGTGAACGGAGTATTATTTTTTTCAGGCATGAAAATGTAGTTTACATGATGTACAAGAAATGCAATTAGTTGAACGGAAGACGACTTGCATAAGAAAATAATAATTTACTCGCCCTCAAATTGTTCCAAACCTGTATGAGTGTTTTTTTGTGTGCGTGTATGGTTACCCATATTTTTCAAAGTATCTTTTTGTGTTCAACAAAATTATGACATTTTCATTTCTGGGTCAATTATCCCTTTAAGTGCATATTTACACGTAATATCACAATTGCCTCTATTTTTGTTTTATTTATTTTTTTAGTAAATGTGTACTGAAGGATTTATAAATATAATTTTCTAATTGCATATTTGTAATGGTAAAGTTGCAACTTAGTATATTTAAAATATTATAACTTTAAATGTAATGGTGAATTGAAGTAAATTATAAAAAAGTATCTTAGTGTATTTAAAATGTGTTAACCCCTTAACTGTCACCGTCCCACCTGTGGGACGTTTGGCGCTCTATTTCTTTTGTTGTTGTCAAATCTTTTAGTAATCATCATTTGAAAGCTTAGAAGCCCAAGATTCATCCTGTGAAAACTATTTTGAAAGCAGACTTTGCGTTACCATGGAAATGGTACTTTAAAATCTTTTGGCGGTCTCCTCCCTAATTGCCTCTATTTTTGTTTTATTTATTTTTTTAGTAAATGTGTACTGAAGGATTTATAAATATAATTTTCTAATTGCATATTTGTAATGGTAAAGTTGAAACTTAGTATATTTAAAATATTATAACTTTAAATGTAATGGTGAATTGAAGTAAATTATAAAAAAGTATCTTAAAGTGTATTTAAAATGTGTTAACCCCTTAACTGTCACCGTCCCACCTGTGGGACGTTTGGCGCTCTATTTCTTTTGTTGTTGTCAAATCTTTTAGTAATCATCATTTGAAAGCTTAGAAGCCCAAGATTCATCCTGTGAAAACTATTTTGAAAGCAGACTTTGCGTTACCATGGAAATGGTACTTTAAAATCTTTTGGCGGTCTCCTCCCCTTTAGTGGGCAGTGTCATATTACAAAATACATTACGGTCTTTTAGAATCAAACCTTTTTATTATCGACAAAACGCATATCATCGGAACGGTCTGAGTCTCAGGATTCCATATTTGGTGGTTATTTTAAGATAAAAAAAATTTTTATGCATTTTTCTGTCACAAATGTCTAGATTTCTCTGTCAATATTACTTCTAAGGCGTTTGTATGGCACCCGGTGGCTGTTTGTGGTATAACGCCCTAAATAAAATCTCACAGGAACCTTAATTTTTTCATATCAACTTCAAATTTGGAACATGACTTATTTCGACATAAGGCTATAATTTTATACCAATTTTAGAGTAAAACCTGATATGTAAAATATTTATTATATATAAAATAAAATGCCTATGCATGCCTATTTTAAAAAATGGGGGGTGACAGTTAAGGGTTTTAAGAAACTAAAATGTACTTAAGTGGCCTTTTATGTCAGTAATATTATATTTTCTGCAAGTACATTTAAAAAAAAATAGACAATGAGTAGAAGTATGAATATGAAGTATACCACAAGTGCACATACGATACAATTAAGTGCATCGTTTTTGTTCACAACGACTAGCTTTCAAAAGTTACTCTAAAATCTAAAAATGGATTAATACGTCATATTAAGTAAACCCCAATAACACTGTCAGAAAATAAATGAATAAAATAGAAAGGTACAAACAGTGCATATTTGTTCATAAATGGTAATAATATCACCCATCACCCCCCTGAGAGTGTGCACAATATGTTTGTGATTGTTTGGTTCTATCTAATGGAGACATTAAATCCCTAAACCTCAAAACATCCATCCACAATGAAATAAATGTGAATCATAAAAAAGCACGCCATATTGTTGAACAATATCAACTTTCACATAAAGTATCAAAAATGTCAAATGTATTTCAAAATGTAATTAAAAATGCATGGTCTATATTACACAACAGCCTTCTGACCTCCTCAGTCAGTGCAGTGTCACGGTGGGCGGGGCTACGCAGGAGTCGCTGTCATCGGGGTGGGCGTGTCGCAGTCGCGGTGGGCGTGGCTGTCAGGATTGGTCATTGGACTTCCTCCTCAGGCTTCTGCGCGCTGAGCGAGTCACATCAGCAGCTTTTGGGCCGAAGCACAGCGAGGTTTATTTCATCATGGAGCTCACCAGCGACCCGAACTACCGCAAACTGGAGCAATGGTACAAGTCCAGCGCCGGAAACCTGAACATGAGGCAGATGTTCGACGCAGAGCAGGACAGATTCGACACGTTCAGGTGAAACACGCATCTAACGCGCGCGCGAGCTCTGCGACACACTAACACTGGCTTTTCGTCTGGTCTTCCTCGGCAGCAGCACAATTCATATGATAGCATCTTCATTTAATATCAGGACATATATATATGTGCGCATATCGTTACATTTAGCGTTACATGGCCGCCTGGATTTCCAGGTTGATGTTGCAAGGTTATTACCACATCAGGCCAAGAGTCTCGAGCTCCAGGTTCCGCCCTCTGCGCTGCTGCACCTGCTCTATATCTTCACTTACACTCATATAAACGCACTGCTGGTATGATGAACTGTTCGTCTTTGCTTTAAAACAGTGAACATTGCCACGCTGTCAGCTAGACGCATAACAAGGTCATTGGTCAACGATCATGTGTGTTTGAGCTCTGCGCGCACGCTAACACTGCTCTTATGTGGCAGCATATTAATAGGAGTTTCTTTTATGACTCTTTCATTAAATGCACATTACCAGGCACTTCTCAAGTGCACTCACTGCTTCTGCAATCTCTTAAGGGAGTATCACGTCCTCTGCTGCGATACTTCTGTGTTTATATGTTGCATATTTACAATAGTCTGTTCGTATGAGAGTGCATTAGCTGTTGTAGGTTAAATTCTGATGTATTAAGTGTTCATAAAAGTCTGTAGTATGTATTTATTCTCAGAAGAGTGTTGGCCAGCAGAGGACGCTATAGCAGCATGTTGTACGTGCTCTTTTGCACTCTCTCTCTCACACACACACACACACACATACATACACACACGTCTGGTTTGCTATCCTTGTGGGGACTCTCCATAGGCGTAATGGTTTTTATACTGTACAGACCGTATATTCTATTGCCCTACACCAACCCTACCCCTAAACCTACCCCTCACAGGAGACTTTGTGCATTTTTAGATTTTCAAAAAACTTCATTCTGTGTGATTTATTAGCTTGTTTACCCGTGGGGACCACAATTTAGGTCCCCACCGTGACACGAGTCCCCATGAGTCTGTGTGTATTCAGATTTAAGTCCCCACCAGAATAGAAAAACGGGTACACACTCACACACACTCACTCTCACTCACTCACTCACTCTCACTCACACTCTCACACACACTCACACTCTCACACACACACACACACACACACACTCACAAACATACACAC